CAGTATTCTGAAGAAGGTGTCAGAAACATACCCCATTCTAAAGGAGTGTGGGTGCTGAGCATCCAGGTTCCCAAGAAGCACAACAGTTGTGCCAAAGTTCTGAAGAAGTGTAAAAAATGTTCATAGTTTTAAAGTGGCATGAGAGCTGGGTTCAAGATTTCAAAGAAGTATGAATTCCAAAGAATCATAGTATCTGGATCCCATAGTTCCAAAGAAGAGTGATAGCTGCCCCAGATCTCTGGCAAGCACAAGAAATATACCAAGGTGACTTACACGTCTCCTCTCACATCCTGAGTCAATGCCTTCACTACAGTGGAACAGCTAACTCCTACATGTCTTTCTGTGGAACTCATCTAGCCTGCAAGGAATCTGGAAGGTATTATTATATCCACCTTCTAGCCCTGCCTAGCCTTTAAGTAAGTTTTGAAGCCGCTACATTCATTGAGCCTGGAGCAAGAACTCTCCTCTGCCCCAGTCCTCAAAACACCAGGATAATCATATCATGCAATGAATCTGGACTAATGTAATAATTACAAATGAGATTGTAAGCCTTGCAAGGATACCTTAAAGTCTTTAGTAAAACATACTGGATATTAGGGACACTTTGTCTCCATAGACTTAATGAAGTATGCAGACTTCTTAAAGTCCATAGCAAAGCAGCCAGAAAGAAAAGTTTTTAAAAGTCTATGGGTGTCAGTTTGAAGAAATTCTAGTACCATTCTACCATGTAAAACACCATAAATCTAGGATAGAATGTACATTTATATCCTGTAATTAGTCAAAAATATATGTAGATACATTGGGGTACTAGAATTTTTTTCTTGATAACTTTATCAAAACACTAAAGAAATCTCTAGACTAACGACTTTATGCTAGAGTTACATGTTTGGAAGTATCAATAACCTTTTAGGGAAAAAATACACACAAGAACATTGTCGTTTTAACAACCAAACATTAGAAAGGCAGGAACTGTAAATTCAGTTCAGAATTTGATAGTATAAAAACACCCAGTTAAGGTACTTGAGACAACCTTATCTCGCTTTTACTAACGTCTTGGGGAGGGTGATTAGAGCAAGGTTAATTTTTAAAATGATTGATTTTATTTTATTAAATAAATATTTGACTTTTTTTGTTACTTTTAAGTTACTGTGTCTTTGGGGAGGTGTTGGGTTTTTTTGTTAACCTTTACTCCATCTTAAAGTACTGGTGTGTATGCCAGTATTTATATATACATAGTCTCTCACTCACACACACACACACACACACATATTTACAATACAATATGTGAAGAACAGTTGAAGTTTAAATGCAAGTTTTGTTCAATAAAACATAATATTAGCTAGTTCATATGTTGGATTGTGTTGTAAATGCTATGTGACATTAGAAGATCAAACTTTTACATAATCCAGCTATACTGTTCAGGAAAGCATCTACTGACTGCAGTGTTAATTTGCATGAGTGAGGATTGCGGACTCAAGCCTTTGTTTACTTTCACTCTCCATTCCCTCAGTTCTCTGTGAGGTGCTTGTCACTCACGACTTATATACCTCAAAATTGCTAAGCATTTCCACAGCCTATTGAAGTCAATGGAAATCTTTCCATTGAGTCCAGGAAGCTTTGAATCAGGCCTGAAGCGTCTACTAGTTCTACTTATAGGAACTCAGAGGTAAATATTGATATTTTAACACTGAGTAGCTTTTATCACAACACAAAAGATGCTTTGACTGATGCATACTTTGGGTTTTATGCAGGTTCAATGGGAGTAGATCACATTGGGTTTTGAGGTTTTGTAAAATCTACTGCAGTATATATTTCCATGTTGATATTTATCACAGGCTATAAGGTTCTGTGATGACCTTTATCACAGTATATGTTTCTGTAGTGCTAGCTGTGATGATAAGTATGTTCAAACTGGTTAAAAGGATATATAGAGGTTTTTTAGCCAACCTTTAATTCCACTGTGGAATTCACCTCTACGGAATATTATTGTGGCAAATAATTCCTTACAGCTGAGCCAAATCTGAAATAGTAAATTTGAATTTGGCTGAAGGTTGGCAATTTCAGATTAAGCTAAGAATTCGTGAACACAAAAAACCCAAAGAACTACTTTGCCTGTATAACTTGTATTAAAGCTATACAAGGGTATTTTATCAGCCCAGTTAAGTGCCAGACTCCTTTTTTGCAGCCCCAATTTGCACCCACAAAATTAATTAATTAATGACACATAAGTACTTGTGTCATTAACTACCTGACTTGCCCCTTTCTGAAAATGTACCTCACAGTTGAAGTATAGGTTGAATAAATTCAGAGAAGAGGAAAAACAAAATATGTAAAATGTTGCAGAATTTTATTTGCAGTGAAATGATGTCCCCTCACTCATCCCTATAGTTCACAGTATGGCCAACCCCAAATGTTCAAAAATCATGAGGCAGGCTCACCAAAAATCATGAGATTATGTAAAAATAATAGATTTGGTGTTCTTGTTATTTGCCTTCTGCTTTTTGAGCCTTTAGGCTGCACCGGGGGTCACATTTTTTAAGCTTTCTCCACAGCCACAAGGGCTAGAAACTTACTTACTTTTCTTTAAGAAAGGCTGAAATTATCACATATCCACTTGACTCCAGGAGCAGGGGCTTTAATGAAAACAATAATTATCATGGGACCTCATGACAAAATAGTGAGAATTGGCAGCACTGCTTTCACTTCTGTTTAAAGGCTAGTTACTTTCCAGAAGGCTCTTAAACACAACACTACAGTGATCGAGTTGCAGTTCTCATAGGAGAATATTTAAAACCAAACACCAAGAAAATTCCACATTTTTAAGTTGAGGGAAAAAATGGAGACTTCTGAAGTATATCGGGGCCATTGCAGGCAGGAAAGGAAAACAAACAGGCACAGGAGCTCTGGGCAGCTCTTCCTCCTGAAAATAGTTGGAGGGTCAAATCTTCCAGTCCTTAAACAGGTAAAACTCCTACTGTCATCAGTGCCTCCACTCATAGATATTAACGTGCTCAATAACTATACACTTCATAGACTCTAAGGTCAGAAGGGGCCATTATGATCATCTAGTCTGACCTGCACAATGAAGGCCACAGAATCTCACCCACCCACTCCTGCAATAAACCTCTCATCTATGTCTGAGCTATTGAAGTCCTCAAATCATGGTTTAAATATACTTAAATATCTGAGCCATCTTATCCAGGGCTATACATTTTATACACATTGGCTCAGGGACTATGTTTTCTGGCATATTCAGAACAGTGCTGAGCACATAGATGGTGCCTGGTGAATAATACAAGTCATGACAATAATCATTGACTTTATGGACTCTATGGATGCAGTTTCTGTTCTTTGCTCTGGAATTGGCCTCAGTACAGCTGAAACCCTAAGAAATTGAGACATAAACACATCTGATACTCATACAACACTTTCTAACTCCTGCCTTTACTCAAAGTGAAAAAAAAATTACAAAACAAAATGGTGTTCAGGTAAAATGTATATTTAACAGCAGCCATTACTCAACAACCCAACATAGGGCAGGACCTGCCACTCCTTGGGGGTTTAGAGCTCTCCTCTCATCTGACTCTCGTTCTCTTTCTTTCTTCATCCTTCCTGACCTCTGTGCTGCTTTTCATGGTGTCAGCCATGACATCCTTCCTAACTGCCTTGGGACTGTTTGCTGGAGTCTCAGAGAATTGGCCTTCTTGGTTTTGCTCCCATCTATCAGAGTCCTCTTTTTTTTTGCAGCAGAGAGAGAGGCTGGTTCAGTGAATAGGGAGCTACCCTAAGAACCTTGGGTTCTACTTCCACCATGGACTTCCTTTCTGACCTCAGGCCAGTGCCTTAGGGACAGAGTTTCAAAGGTTTTTAGGCACCCAAAGATGCAGCTAGGCATCTAGTGGGGTTTACAAAGCACCTAACCTTCTAGGCACTTTTGAAAATCTCACTAGGTGCCTAAATACTTTTGAAAATCTGGCCTTTAGTTTCTCTGTGCCCAGTGCTTCAGCTGTACAATGGGGTTAACAACACTGCTCTACCTCACAGAGGGGCTGTTAAGATAAATAGGTTAGACATTGTGAGGCACTCAGATACTATGGTGATGTGGCCACATAAGTACCACAAGTAGAGTGGGAACTTTATCTATACCACTGCTATCCTTTCCCTTGGTTTTGGCCCCTTCTTTTCACCTATCCCCCTCACAGCTCCCTCTTTTCTGAATGTAACCTGGGCTGTATTTCTTCTGAGTCCCCTGTGTTCTGTCTTCAACACCCCCTCCCACCCGCCCCCCCGCCAAAGCGCCTTGCAAAGGGGTTCGTGTTTTATAGGCTCTTCTAATGACTTTCAGATCCTTAATTTAATTACCAACTCTTTCTTATCTTAATCACCCTCCCCCTTTTTGTAAACAAAATATGGACTCCCTGCCCCAGGGGCACAAGCTGGGAGCAGCACCTCTCCTCTGCAGAACTCACATGTCACACTCAGGCGGTGCTGCAGTAAGAGCTCTGCCTGGGGCTAGGATGTGCGCTGCGAGCAGAGCTCCTGTACGAAACTGCTCCCCCGAAATGGTGACTTTTGACTTTTAGGCACAAAATATGGAGTCTCTTGAACCAAAATAGGAATAAAAATTCTACTGTACAAGGGGGAAAGGGCATGCAACCTCCACTCCACTGCTAATGTGCAGAATCATTTTATTTTTAACTAAAATGTATTCAAGTCCCTGTGGGGCTGAGAAGAGACCATTAGTAAACAAATCTTGAGTTTTAATAAGCACTGTAGAAAGCAATTTAGGTAATTATCCAGAAGGGAGCTGGAAAGAGCGGAGAGCACAGTCAGGTTAGCAGGAGGTAAGGCTGAGAGGGGAGGAACAATAAAGGGTGGGAACAGAGAAGGAAGGTGGGGCAGAGAAAGGCAAGAACTGCTTATGTTTCAGATGGGGTACATTGGGAGGAACTAAGACAGGGATGAAAGTGTTTGACCAACCTGTTTCTTTTTTTTTTTAGACACTGACCGTGCATTTCATGGGGTGGAATTTCTGCCAGAAGATCTTGGTGAGGCTCTGAATAAGACTGCAATGAGAGTGAATGAGAAATATTCCTCTCTACCTGCTGAGGAGAAGGGGATTCACATTATCAACATCCGAGCTATTGAAGACATCGGATACGTCCAGCATGAAAGTATAGTGAGTAGAGCAGTTATTAGATGGTACTTACCTTCTGGGGTTTTGTACCCTGGCTTATCACCCTGGAATTCAAGTGCCTTCATTCTCAACACCATCACCCCTCTGCAAAAATATATAAATGTTAAAAATATATATTTGGGGATTTGGATAGTGTGAGTTCTGCACTATTCCTTGTCAGATGTGAACAGTTACCGGCAACCACAATACAGGCAATTTAAAAGGGTTTGTGTTGACTCATATATAGGAGGAAGGGAGTGGGAGAGATTGAGGGATCCTAATTTGAGCTAAATCATATAAAGGGCTTTAGGGTGACCAGATGTCCTGATTTTATAGGGACAGTCCAGATATCTGGGGCTTTTTCTTACTTAGGCTCCTAATACCCCCTCACCCCCATCCCGATTTTTCACACTTGCTATCTGGTCACCCCAAAAGGGCTGCTTATTCCCAGATTAAACAAACCAGCAAACAAGGCAATGGCAGCTTTTTGAATCTGTGTGGCTGTATCAAAGAGAGCCCTTAAATGTCTAAAAATATGCACCCAAAAGCTACACATCTGCTTGCATTGATAACATTACACCAATAACCTACAGTATAGATTCCTGTTGTCTGAATGGATTTTCACTGTCATTTGTTATGCCTTCATTAAATTTTTTAATTAAAATGTTTTGCACCTTAAATACCCTGCAGTAATTTCTAAATGTTGTAATGTAGATTCACAGGTCGTTAGGAATCAGTAATGTCACATACCTGTAAAAGGTCAGAATGTGTATAGGTGTGTTGATACCATTGCTATCCCTCTGATCAATATTGTCTCATTGTTTCCTTGAACTCCCTTGTCCGTCTGTATCCATCTGTTGTCTCTTGTCTTAGATTGTAAACTCTTTATAGCAGGATCTGTCTTTTTTTTTCTCCTGTTTGTACAGCATGTAGTACAATGGGGTTGTGGCCCATGATAGGCACTATGGTTATACAAATTAATAATAATAGAGGAGGGAACAGAGGTTGAGAAGGACCGAAACACAAATGTTAAATGATCAAGGAAAATGTACTGGAAATAGAATATTACCTTCCACAATGGAGAAAGAATACTTAATTGGAATTGACTTGGGCGTGAAGAATAGAGCATGAACAGCCTCCTAAGTATGGGGATTTAAAACTAAACTGTCCTTTTAGTGGTTTTACCTTTAGATTGAGCAGTTTGATCCTCATTTGGTGTAAATCAGCATAGCTCTGCTTATTTCAATGTCGCTACACTGGTTTACATCAAATGAGGATATGGCCTACAAATATCTTCTCAACCTTAACCCAAGGTTAATGCAGTTATTGGTTTGGGAATTTCCTTAGCATTTTAATAGCATTATAGCAAGAAATTCCTGTTATACTTGCCATGTGGAACTGTGTATTCTCCCCCAAGTATATAAATGATATTATAGGTTACAGGAGTGTAGCCGCTTGGTTAATAGACCGGCACCAATATTTCTTCCAAGCTGTACTTGCAAGCTTCTTAAAATCTTTCCACCTTGCCAGTTCAGATGTGATCTTCATGATATCCTCATACTTTAGTAATTTTATTGAGGCCAAGTCTATAGACTCCTTAAAGTCCTTAACCGATCAGGTTTTACCACAGTGTAAGTAGGACTCAGGGATGGGGCAGGGCCGGGGGAGGAGGGAAGGAGAGGGGGACAGGTTCTCAGCAGGAATCTGTACAGAGCTGAGAATCTCAATGTCTGTGATATATTAACCCAGATTTGTTTTTATGAGCTGTGGGGTGGGAGGTGTTAGTCTCTATGTTTCCCCGTCCAAGTGATTTTAGTAGTTTCTAAGATCAATTAGATTCTGTGCTGGGCTTAGAAAATGAAATGAGCACATGAGCTGCTTCAATACTTGGTTGAATCCTTTCCGTGCTTATAGTCTCCATAGAAGATCGTGTGGGAATGAAAGATGTGCAAATGTGAGTCCATTTGGGACTGAGAGAGGAAGGAGCCATATTTTTTGTACCCTAGAGCATTGGCACATTTGCCTGCTTTTTTGGATCCTCAGTAGTTCCCATTCTGTTTCTGAATCTTGGTGCTGTTCCCAGGCTTGTTTGGAGCACTGGTGCAGTTCTTAAACCTTAGCAAATTACTAGTGAATGACTCCAAAATTAAACCATCTGTACTGTCCAATCCAAACATACATGCTAGAGCTCACCAAACACTCTGGAATAAAATACATTTTAAGTAAGTTGACCATGCTGCTTGGGGAAATAACATGACAAAAACCATTACAACATTCTTTTTTTTTTTTTCGCAAAAAGTGAACAACATCTGTTTTTATTGAGGTGAAAATTTCCATTAGAATTATTCTCTAAAGAGTGAGTGAGTGTGTGTGAGAGAGAGAGAGAGAGAAAGCTGGTAGCAATCTTAACTATGGAAAGACTCCAATCTCTCCAGATTTAAAAACAAACATTTGAAATACAAATGGAGTTTGCAAAGGAAGATCCCAACTGAGAGAAGTGCCGCTGGTCCTCATCATCCACTGGGCCAGATTCTTTAATGCAATCTGTCCCCTTTCTGCTGGCTAAAAGGGACCAGAAAGCAAATAAATCTTCTATGCCATCCTTTGCCACCCCTATTACAGAAGGTGTTCTGGGGGGTAGGGAAAGGTGTGGCCATAGTGCACTGCTCTCGGATGATCTCCAGATGATAGGTGGCCCCTTGGGTGCAGGCCATAAACAACTGGCACAGTAGTTCTAATCTGCTGGAATCATCTGCTTGATCCAATGCAGAACTGGCCACAGAACCTGGGAGGTGAAAATGGCTTCTTTGTGACTTCCACAGACTAGCCCAGTTATTTCAATAAGAATTGAAGACACTCAGCACTTTTCAGAATTGGCCCACTGATAGATACTGAGCACCCCAGAAAGTCCCATTCACTTTGTGGGAATAGTAGGTGCTCATAGGATCAGGCCATAACTTTTACCTTTTAGACCAGCCTGCATTTTACTGAGGAATTCATCATTTGACCCCAAGTTTTCAAAATTAAATGAGACTGGTGATCTTGATGGAATCCCCAGAGTTCCCAGGCCTTATTGAGAGTGGCTGGTTGCACTTAAGAGATTTGACTGCATGAAGACTGAAGTATTTTGTATCCCAGAATATTTTGCTGTCACAAAATCTGCTCATCTTTGAATTGCCCCCTGCAAACCAAATGTCCGAATGGTGTTCTTGAAGGGGGATGCTGAGGAGAGGAGTGGTCCCATCTGGACTCTTCCTTCATCAACAAATGAACAATGAGTAAATTATATCTTGTTACCATTGGCATAGTTATTACTATGCTTGTAAAACAAGAGAGACATTTGCTTGGTCATCCCAGCCTGGCTCCCTATTTGAAGTGTTTATCAGCTAGTTCCCTTCCAACTCAGGCAGATTGAGAATTGTTGGCCAAAGTCAGAGTATTGCCTGAGTGTAAATTGACTTCAGAACTTGGCCTAATAATAAACAAAATCTTGGGACCAGTTTGTCCCCTGAAGGCACTGGCTTACATTAGAGGAAATATGGAACTGCCTTATCCCAGGAGGAGTTCTAAGACAGCAGAATCCTGCAGGTTTGAAGGACAGTGGGTTGATACTGCAGAAAGAGATGTACTTGGGCCACACTCACCAAGACCAAAGACGCCCTAAATATGTGGAAGGTGCTTCTAGTGAAGGATCAGAGGAAGAAGGGATGATGCCTCTTTAAATCAGACTAGCCATTCCAACAAAAATTGACCTTTTAGCAGAATGTACATATTTTTCATGCATCCTGAAGGATTTTGTTTTAATCTGGTCCTAAGAACTTAATATTGAGTCTAAAGTAGGCTGTAATGAATTGCACTCTGAATGTTATGAGTACAGCAAAACCTTGTAATACTTTGAATTAAAACCTTACTAATAGATATGACCACATCCTTCAATTAACATAACTGTAAAGATAAGACCCTCACCTAAGAGAAGAGGAATATGTGAACCCACCTAGGAGCTTTTGCTAAGTGTTGTTGTAGGTCCGGTGTGGGTGGAAGGAAGGAGAGAAGGCTGAACAGACAGACATAGGGAGAGACAGAAGCCTGGTCTACACTTAAGTTAGGTCAACATAGCTGAGCGCTGGTAGGTATCCTGACCTAATCCCTGGTGTAGGCACAACTAGGTCAGTGGAAGAATGCTTCCATTGACCTAGCTACTGTGGCTCATGGTGGTGGAGTTTCTACAGCAACAGAGAAACCCTTTCCCATCACTGTTGACTCATCTACACTGCAGCAGCATAGTGGCACAGCAATGGTGATGTAGCTATGCAACTGTAGCATCTATAATGTAGAAATGGCCTAACAGACAGAGGGAGAGCCAAAAGGAGCAGCTGAAATCCAGGTGTCTGACCCTGGAAGAAACCTGAAAGAGGTTTTTCAGTCAGGGATGCAGGCTAACAAGAGTGTTCTTGGTGCTTGTGCTTGATCCTTGCGTGGTCCTGCTATTTGATTCCTTTTGCATTTAGAGAGACAGGTCTTTTGTAAATAAACAAAACTGCATCAAAGAAACATCTGTTACCAATTTCTGCTCCCAACTGGGACATCCCAGGGCCCCAAACTTTGACTAGCCACTCAGGTGAAAAAATGGTAACAATATGTAGCTCTCTTCATTTGAAGATATCAAACCTGGCCTCTTTGTGAACACAACTGTGTTCCCCCAAATGTTTGCATCCACTGTTTTATGTACCAAGCAAACTGCAGATGCACATATTGCAGTTGGACATGGAACTTTTTGATTCATGATTGGTGGCCAACTGCTACCATTTGCACCAGCAATTTATTACAGGGGAAAGTATTTCTTGCCTTAAAATTCTGCCTACTAAATTAAAAGCCATAAAATGTACAAGGGCTCCTGAACCTTTGTAGTGTCACTGCTGCCATTAGTATTTACTGTGGAAACAAGTAAAATCTATTGGCCCATTTCTGCCCTTGTTGCTATGTGTGCACATCCAAAGGCAGAATTTGGTATTGTGTGAGAACGCACTAAATGAGAGAGGCGTATAAATAGTGTTATGTATTAATATTTTATTAATATTAATTTTTTGTATTTACCCTGTCAAGTCTAGAATTAATAAAGAAATGATTGATTTAGGGTTCTACTGGAGTTTCAGTCTCAAAAATGGAGTTTCTAGCGTCTCATAACACCAGTGTAAATAGGTTTTAATTTGCAGTGAATTATTCCAGTCTGGAGTACGTATCTTTGTTACCATCAAATTGCAGTGAGACGTGGGCTGTACACGAGAGAAAAATTAAACTAAGCAAGGACTGAACCCGGTTCCCTGTCTACTATCCATTTGCATTTTTGGCTCTGCTACATAGCCAGCTGGCTCCTGTTAGTCTCTATCTAAGCTGATCTCTTTCTCAGATGATGCAAACTTGTAGCCAGAGATAAGAGAAGTGAGAAATGTTTGCACATGAAATTAATCTGTTTATCAGAATTAAAACACAGATGTCTTTGGTGAAGGACAGATGATCTTACTGGTGATTAGCCTACAAAGGGGGAAAATCAAACCCACCAAGTAGCTCACTTATGAACTAGTGTGCTGGTAATTAGATTAAATTCCAGTCATTTTATCTATTAATTTCTGACCAATAAAACTCCAACTGGTCAATCATCAGAATTGCAGGTGTTAACTTGCAAAATCTTTCACTAAGTGGCACAGGAGGCAGTCCTCAAACTCTCATGTGTTTGAAGATAAGACGTTCTCTGCTCTGTACAAGGAGAAACAATGTGAATGTGGGTTTTTTTTTAATGTTTGGTTTGTTTGGTGTCCATGTCTGCAAGTGTACTAATTACTCTTCTTCCTCCCCCCATTGTTCACAGTTATTAAATTCGCTGTGTCAGGATCCAGATGCCAACTGCAAACATGGACTCTATTTTCGAGATGGCAAGAGGAAAGTGGATTACATCTTGGTTTACCATTTTAAGAAGTCCTCAGTCAGTAAGACGCTCACTAGGCGAATTCATCACAATGACTCAAGTGCCCGAAGCATCAAACAGGATCATCAGCTTCCTGGGAAGGGTGGGCACCTTGACGTGGGAGAAAGTGAGCTCCACATGGACTATCACGAAGATGACAAGAGATTCCGCAGAGAGGAGTATGAAGGCAACCTCATGGAGGCTGGTCTGGAATTGGAAAGAGATGAAGATGTAAATAAACTTTTGAACTCTTTTACCTTAATAAGATAAGTAAGCGCCAAATACTGAGAAATATCAAGCAGTTCCTGAGAACCTGAAACCCCTGTTGACTCTAGTGGGAGTTACAGATGCTCATGGCCTCCCAGTATTTGGCCTTTATATTTTGTAGCACCCTCAACTCCCTTTCATACCAGTCATCTCAGCAACTCACTGGGTCAGCCCATAGTGTAGTTGATCTCCCAGTATATAAAAGACAGTTTCTGAAGTAAGTGTTAACTTTTTAAAATTCATATTTTAATTTCTCAAGAAAAAAACGTGATGCAGGCTTCTCACGGCATTTTCATCATCCGGGAATTGAAGTACTCTGAGTATTTAGTGAAGAATAAAACTGGAGCATTTTTAGAACTGTCTTATCTGATATTTTCCAGACAGATACCCATATTTCTCTGGAAAATATCTGATACGAGTATACAAGTGTACTGTACTTCAAGAGCTTAACTGCCTGAACTATGCACTAAACTAAGATATGTATCAACAGCCCCAAAGAGCCTGATATGGCAGCTAAGATCAGTAACGAATAAACCCTAGAAGTTGTGAGAAGAGTACATTACCTCAATTTTTGTCTTAGCATAATAGGATATAACTTCTTCTTCTTAATAAATATAATATAACACAAACTGATAGCACATTTTGAAACCACTGGGAAAATGTTACTCAATATGCTCATTAGCAATATTCAGATTCTCTCAGCTATTCATATTCTATATAATGTCCATAGCATTAATCAACTTCATGGCCTAAACAAGCAAATATACTGTGAACACATTCAGGACAGTAGCATATTTAGCCTCTCATGGTGTGGAGGTGCTGAAATGAATGGAATCCCCTTGGTTGTTCACACACTCTCCTCTCACTTAGTCCACACAAGGCCCTCCATGCAGACACTACAGGTTCTGCGGGTTTGGGTGGGAGCGTGACCAGTCAGTGGCATGGAGAAGTTTTTATGTAGCATTGTCCCAAGACAAACCAGTTGAGAAATTCCCATGGAAATGAGTTCTGACCCTGTTAATATTAAGCACCACATCCCAGGACCTGTCTCTTACTGTCTATGACACCCCTCCCATCCAGCCCCGGAGAGATAGTGGGGGGTGTGAAGGAACAAGGTGGCAGAGAGGCCTGGTTCCTGAGAGTCCTACTTCTGGGGAAAGGGAGAAGCCAGGGGAGTACCACAGAAGGGACAGCCATCAGTGAATGCCCTGGACATCTTTGCAGATGGCCAGATGTGTGTAAGTTTTCTCCGCGGATTTCAGGATTTCCATATATTTTGGAGAGCCCTTTCTCCTACTCAAGGCCTGCAAATCCTGCCTTCTCTCCCTCAGGAACTCAAACATCTGCAGTATTTCCCTCTAATTATACCCCTCTTATGGGTTTGTCCTGGCCATAACTTTCTCCCTCCTGTTGGAGTGAAACTGAGGACAAAAGTGGAGTGGAGGAGGAGAATAAGTATGACCAAAAGTGGTGGCCATTGTCAATCCAAGAAGTTAATCATTACAATATTTAATACATCTCAGAGTTAGACTTCTGCATACCGCGGGCTTTTAAAATAGCAAATACATTAATACAGACATCAGGGGGGAAAATTTTTGTGGAATTGCTAATAGTGATCTTTAACTCATCTACATAGTACTCTTCATAATTAGCCTCCTTGTTAAAATATGTAGAATTTTTTAAAAATCTGTAATTTAAGAGACTTTTTGAAAGTTCTTAAGATGGACCCACATCAAACCCTGAGATCTGAACATCCCTGAACCTTTTGGACTGTTCAAAACCGAGATGTGAATTTGAGGTACCCCCTTAGATTGAACAACTCTATTGGTGTGTTTAAAATATTGACCTAGATCTGAAGTTTCTCATTTTAGGACTATCTCTTGAAAGTTCATGTTATGTTGTATCCTTTATTATAACAGAAGTCACTGACACTTTAATATTACAGGTAAAACTGAGCCTGAAAAAAAACCTCCAGTTTCAAACACCCCTTGAACTTTGGTCAACATCTAAACTGCATCTAAATTCTGTGGGTTTGGCCCACCTGTAATTCCAATCTGTTTTTAAAAAGAGCTATTTACACTGAAATTGTCACATTTCAGTTTAGCCTCCAAAGGAATGAAATCTGTTCATGGGGGCCTTGTGTAAATAGTCTAGATTAAGTGCATGGATTTCAGATGTTATTTCATCTTTCCGCTATAATTAGAGATCAGTGATGCTGTACATAACTCCTTTCACCTGCACAGCAAAAACAATGTGTTCTATTAAAAGACTGACTATATAAATGATTGGGAGTGTATGTGATCTGCTGCCAGTGTGATTAGCAGAGATAGCCATGGTCAGATTCATTTCAAAGGAAGCGACTATGTTTTAATTAACTGATCCAGCCAATGTGCCTGAAGTTGCAGAGGGAGAAGGTAAACATTTTGTAAATTTTATTTACAATATCTAAAAGCTGGGTTTTAAATCTGTGATCTGCGCATTAAAAGATGCTCAATATGTCCATTAAATATTCATGAATGTATAGATAGGACAAACCCTGGAAAAACGAAATGAGTTTCCATTTCAGGTTCTATATTCCCAAATGTAAGTACAAATTTGCATCTAATTTGCAAACTAATTTGCATCTAATTTGCATCTAATTTGCAAACTATCATAGTAGATTGGCAGTCATCTTGTGCCAAGTCATGCAGTTTAAAATAGTTTACATGGCAGGGTGTCCCCACCTCTGACGTGTAGTACTACTTTAAATAATGTTGAAGGTCTTTGAGTTCAAACTAGGACATAATGCATAGCCATCCTGAGGGACACTGTCCTCTCAATACAAGATCAAAACAGAAAAGAAATGTATTGAGATGAGAGCCACAGGGATCTACATCAACTTTCATGTCCAAAGCTTGAATGTAAGGCAAAGGCTTGCAGACACTTGCTTGAGTCTGAAGGGCATTATTGGGAAAGCCATGAAGTCACACTGCAGATCTTTAATATTAGTAAAAGTGAGCACTTGTTACAAGTAAGACCTATATTAAATTGCTTAAACTCTCTTCCGTGGAGTTAACTCATAAATGTTTTTGAAGCTGTGACACATCGGAGGATGGCAACTATTTATGTCCCCAGAGTAATGTATTTCCAGAAAGCAGGTGCAGAATATTACAGGCTGAAACAAGCTTTTATACTTGCATAAGCAAGTATAGCAGCAAGAATGGAAAGATAAAGCCAGAAAGATTGAAGTCTTTTCCTGTTTAAAGCTATACCTCAATTTAAATTGAATAGCCTATTGATCTGATGAATGATGGGAGCCATTCACTCTCATGCTTTGAAATGGAAAGGGGAGAAAACCACTATCACAATATAATGTACATTTAAATACATGTGCATCTGACAAGGGCCTGAAGGATCGTGGGTGGCTGTAAGTGTCGGAAAATCTCTACCGCATATGCTTGAGGATGACAAGCACAGGAATCGGACAAGGCACTCTTCTTTTGCTAGTTGCCCACCTTCCTAGGATTCCCCTTTTCAATGGCAGGATGGCATCTAGACAACACTATTCTGGGGGCAAGGAGGAGGAAGGCTTTTTTTTCTCATGCATATTTGGAATTTCCAGCACTTCCACTACACACAGGAACAAAAAGGTCCAGTGCTGTTATCTGTTGTCTTTGTGAGTATATGCTATCGAAAGCATGGAATCACCCCAGGTTCTTCCTTGCTTTCAGTGTTACAAGCGAGGTGGTTATGCTTTTGAAGATTTCTGTTCTTCAAATACAGAACCTGTACTACTGGCTTTAAAATTCTCTGCAGACTTACTTGCCTTTGCACATAGATAACACAGCTGTTCATATGAAAGCTCCTCAGTTTATGTGCAGGCCAGAAATAAGGCAAGTAGGTACTTCAACTCCATGGCTCTTAGATCACACAATACAAAAATATCTGAAGAACTAAATATTACTTATAAACTTGGCTGCCAAAGGAAGGCAGAAAATAGATGGGAGCAATTCCTGTGATCTATATGTGTTCATGAGCTCCATGGCTTCCTCTTAATGCCAACTGCTGATTTTGAAGGCTAGCCTCAAATCAAATGTCACCAGTCTGCTCTTTTGAAATGCATTGGCATGCCCTATCTGTTCCTCTTTACAGTTACATGACTGCACTCAACACATGCAGCTCAGAAGCAGCAAGCATGAACTCTCTCAGCAGCTGCGTCATTACTGGGGATAGTGAGGAACACACCACCAAGAGCAAATGTGTCTTTTGAAAATAACTTTTATAATCGAAAAGATGAATGACCCACAATTCTGCACAATTCAGCAGGGACAACCCACCCCATCCCTGTATGCTAGCATTTGGAGGGCGGGGGTGGGGGGCAGGATTGTCATAGGAACCATTACACCAACTCTCTGCCTCTTCATATAGTCAGCTATGCTGGCTTTAGGACAGCTTCATGTCAGCCATGCAGTACAAAGTGGCCCTAATGCAGGGAAGAATCTGGACCAATGTATAAAGAAATTGGATATTTTCCTATAAATCTTTCTGTAGTATTAATGTAAAAGTTCACCATTTAAGCTCAGATGTATACAACAGCTCTGCAGATGAAGCATTTTGGCCTCTTAGACGACTGTCATTCTGATCCTTAGAGGTTCTGAGCATATGTTGTGAGACGCTGCTGACTATCCTCAACTCCATTTACATCAATCCATTTAACACCTTTCACAAGATGCTCAAATCTCACAGGTTCAGGCCATTTTGGGTATGTCTACAACTCTCCCAACCTGAGCCCAAACATCTACATCACAGTTAAACAGTCCCTTAGCCTGAGCCCTGAAAGCCCAAGTCAGCTGGCATGGGCCAGCTGTGAATTTTTAATTGCAGTGTAGACATACTCTTGTCTAATTCAAATGTGAGTGACTGGGTATATTTTCCTTGTCCATAAGAAATACCTTTTATTTTCCAAGTAACTCTTACTTTCTCACTTTAAAATAAGATAATTATTCTACCTTGGGATAATTATTTTGTTGGAGGACAATGGTGTTTCATGTTTGTGGTTTGAGCACCTTGTGGACAGTAAATCAGAAGATTTATTCAATGATAGTATCGTAGCTATTTAGAAGCAGTTGTTCCCCAGTTTTGTTTTAAACAGATTAGATTTATAATGTTGTCTGGTGGAGGCTACTTGATTCCTCAATATGTATGAAACTGGAAGAAAAATAGCATTTTATTTTATTTCATCTGAATTATTGTCTCTTTCTTCCTTTTTTAGACTAAAATACATGGGGTTGGATTTGTAAAAATACATGCACCTTGGAATGTTTTGTGCCGGGAGGCAGAATTTCTGAAACTCAAGATGCCCACAAAAAAGGTTCGTGATAATTTTCTTTTTCTCCAAAAGTCACACCTCCACATACACACACAATTTACACACAACACTTACGTAGGGCTTTTCATCCTCACAGCACTTTACAAGCATTAACTAATCCTCACAACAATTTTGCGAGGGAGATAAGTATTCCTATTTGCCTTTTACACATAAGGAAATTTGAGGAGGAATGCCTAATTAACTTACCTAACCCTACAGAAAGAATCATGTTTATAACTGGGAACAGAAATCAAGAGTTCCTAGCTTCTGGTCCTATTCTTCACATGATACAAATGAGTTTGTACAGTATTTCATACCTTCAGTACATTTTGAAATGGTAGATTGCAGCTGATAATGGACTCTTAAATATACATTATGGGGGATGCTTATTTTTTCTTACTCCAGCAAAGCCCCAATCCTGAAAACACGTGTGGGAATAGCATTTTGAATGCAAATAGTTCCATTGAGCTCAGAGACTACTCATGTGCATAAAGTTAATCATGCATGTAAATGTTTGCAGGGTCTGGAACTAAATTAGCTTAGAATAAACTACCCTTCGGAATATTTGGAATATCGTTATAAAAGTGATAGTGTATTTTCTCCAGAGACCAAAATTTAAATAATCTTTGATATGTAGCTGTACCTATTCAATGAACATAACGTAGAGGTGGATTAATATTTAATGATATCCTAAGTGCTGGTTCCAGACACTGCAGAGAAAGAAGTCTCTAATGGAACAAGAGACAGCCTCAAAGCCCAAAGTAATTTATTGTAAGTGAAACTAAATTTAAACTTTTGGTTTAAATATTGTATTAGTAGCATCCTAGCCCACTTATCACTTTGTTTACTTTAATTGTGTTTCCTCTTTTGTTAAGGCCATTAAGTTCCTTGGAGCAATTGTATTACATAGGAAAGGGCATTTTTGTCAAGAGAGTGAGTGAGAGGTTTCTAAGCTTTCAGGCACAGTCCAGTTATTTCCTGTACCTAGCAGAAATGAGGAATGAATTTTCACTTGGCTACGCCTAGAAATGAGCTCAAACCAAACTCCTTCATCTAGGTAGTTTGTTTCTGGCTGTAGAGCGGAACTTTGTGGCTCAGGCTGTGACGTTTATTCTTTTCTTTTTTTATCTTCTAATGCAATTCCTGTATAACTTTGGCACTTGTTTGGTACCATAGGCCCAAATTGCCCTTACTGCACTGGTGAAAAGTAGTTCCACTGTGGTTCCATTACATGGAAGAGGTGGGATGCCAAAAGTACGTGGTGCAGGGCATTCACATGCAAGCTTCCCTATGTACCATGGAGATCAGAAGTGTGCTCCTGATGTGGTTACACTCATCAGTTCTTGGGAGAAAGGAATCCATTGCTATGTGGATCTTCCAGTCCTTGGTTTCACCCCACAGAGTGGCTTACAAGGGCCACAGAAGTTACTTCAACCTTTAAGCTGCTATAGTTGCCACGGAGTAGCTCTATGGTTTTAGCTCTGTGAAGCGGTCCAGCCTTATCCTTTGGAATGAATAAGGGGCAGGATTTGACTCTTAGGGCACATTTGGAGTCTGAGGTTGCCTCAATTTTCGCCTTTCACAACCCGTCCATCTGTTTCTCAACCTTTTAAAGAAGGTAGAGCGATAGCACACTGCTCCTCATTAGTTTATTTGAGTGTATTTATTTAAATGATGGTTTTATTCCTTATACTTCAGAATCTTTTATGAATAATTTTGAGAGCAATACAGTATTAATTGTTCATTTTCCTTCTTCTCAGGTGTATCAGATAAATCAAGCCCATGGTCTTTTGAAAAAAATTAATTCTGTAATTCAAAAAATAACAGAACCTATCCAGCCAAAAGTAGCAGAACTCAAACCACAAACAGTGAAACGCCTCTCTTACCCCTTCTCCCGGGAGAAACAACACTTGTAAGTGAAAGCTTCATCTAAATTAACCATTTGCATCAACAGGATCCAGACTTTGTAATACCACTTGCGACACAGGCATGAATAGGTTAATAGAAAAATGTTCATCAGCACTGATATTGCAGTAGTGATCATTAAAATGGACACTTTTCCTTTTCATAATAAGTGAAATCTTATCTAATTCACTGTGCAGGAATCAGACTTTTTAAGAATCTTTGTGTGGCATTTGTGTTCATTTTAGCTGTCATATAGTATATGTAGCAACCCTCCTGAACAGAGTAACAAATATGTCTGTTTTACTACAAAGATAAATTTATATCGTAATACTTATGGTTTTACTATGGTCCTTTTCACTGCAAAAACGAAGTGTTCAGTAAGATTTGTAGATACGAGTATGGTTTGATAAACATAACTGATAGCCTCCTTAATAGTATATGGGCAGGTAATAAATACATGTATTGTGTAGCATCTACAAGGAGAGGGCCTGATTTGGCTCTCCTTGAAGTCAGTGGTAGTTTTGCCATTGATTTCAATAGGAACAGGTTTGGGCCCATTTTGAGATCTCAAGAATAATTTCAATTGTGTATACATACATGTCAGGAAAAATGGAAAAAGCAGAGGCTGGGCGCAGCATCTTCACCACACAGACATTTGTTTTTACCTTTAGTGGACACAGAACATGAAAGGGTGCTGTGCAGTAGGATGGTATCAGGCAGAATCTGGCTGCATGTAAATGACATGTTTGCAGAGTATGTCACCTTTGGTATGTGCCCAGATTTGTAGAAATTGACCTGATAAGAGAATTTATAGCATGAGGGATGTTCATCTAATAAAACAATCAGATGCCCGAGTATCACTAAGGATCAGATTTAGTAACTTGTACTCAGATTGAAAAGGATCTTACACATCTTGTCTCACTTTTTTTTTTCTTCTTTCAATTAAACTACTTTTAGAGTAATCATTGGATAAAGGAGGCAAAAGATGGCCCAGCATGATTAACAAAAGAACTCTTGGCTAGATCAAAAAAATCACTGGGTGAAATGCTAGGTCAGTGTTATGCAGAAAGTCAGAGTAGATGATCATGATGGTCCCTTTTGGCCTTAACATCTTTGAATCTATAAAACCAATGAACCATGTTGCCAAACCCCCTAAACCGGGGAGTTTGGGATGGGCATTTCTTTTAGAAGGGATATTAGATTAGATTCATTTTATGTTTATTCATTGACAATAACATTCATTACAAGCAGTAAACTTTACTGATCCTCAGGATAAATGAAAAGAGGTCGCCAAGTGTAGAAAATTATAGGCAGCTTTTTACCTAATGTGCAATCTTTTTTTCTCCTTTCTAATGTTTTAACAGATTTGATTTGTCTGACAAAGAGTCCTTTTTTGACAGCAAAACTAGAAGCACGATAGTAAGTATTGTATTTTAAAATCATTTACAGCAGGGGTATTCCCATCATGATGTGGGTTTCAAGTGCTCCTTTGCTAGTTTTAATCCAAACTCCCAGTACCAAACGCCACTAATTGTCAATGACAGAAATTGGTTAAATAACAAAATGAAGCATTTCCAGTGCACAGTTCTAGTGTGGCTGCTAAATACTGTTTGGGATTAACAGTATGCCTTCTTTTGCATAGTAACTCAGTTTTGATTCTATTAGGCTTTGTCCACACTTATGGTGGTGTGTAGAGTACAGGCACTATACATGTAGAAACATGTGAAAGGCATGGGGTGTCCACACTTCTCACTGCAGTGTGTAGATACATGCGACAGGGAAAGACTGTGGCATTGGGGAGGCTTTCCACACAGCTTTCCGCCTGCTAGAGCCTTTCAATATTGCTGGAGCCTTTCACTACAACTGGGAAAGTCTCTGGCAGCAGGCAGGCAGCGGGACACTACATTGCTAAAAATAGCAGCGTAGACATGGGAGGTGTTGTTGGGGCATGTAGAGAGCAATGTAGGCTATATTCACTGGGGGTTCAGGCATTTTGGGCACTCTACTCTACTCTGCCCACCTAAGCTGTGCCTCACCATTTACACTGCTCTTTATACACATGCTCACTTGGTGTGCAGTGTCTGTACTTTACACTCCACCAAATGTGTAGACGTACCCTTAGAGTCTCAGTAATTCTGGGACGCAGCATGGACTTGGACTCAGATCTGGATGCCTTTCCTGGCTCTGCTACAGGTCTGCTCAGTAACATTGGGCAAGTCACTTCCCCTTCCTATGCCTATATTCCCACATTTGTAAAGTGAGGCCCCTGACCTCCTTTGTAAAGTGCTTTGAGATTTACTGATGAAAAACACTATCTAAGAGCTAGGCATTACTGGTACTGGTGGATATTTTTAAAGCAGCATTGGGCTATGGAGCAGGATTAACATCTCCTAACTTTTAAAATAATATCTGTATTTAACAACAACAAAAATTACATTAAACCAAGCTTAATAGGAACAGAAGTCACTGAATTTCAATCGGAGTTATTGTTTGAATGACCATTCCCCCTTATTATGTTAACTTGTGACATTCACTTCTATGGTGCACTTTAGTCAGTGCTAGGGTAGATTGTCAGAACTCTAATAATATTTAGCAGGTGTATAGAATCTTTCATCCACAGAGTTCTTTACAAAGGAAGTCAGTCACCATTTTACAGATGGTGAAACTGAAGCATCTGGGAGTGAAGTGACTTGCCCAAAGGTACACAGTGAGTTGGTTCAGAGCCAGGAACAGAATACAGATTCTGCCTCCACATCTGGTGTTCTGTTCACTAGACACACTCCCTCGTATACTGCTTGTACAGCATTTTATAAATTTGCCCTAATTTACACCCCTACAACTCCATTGCAGGACTTAATGCTCTGTGTGTAGGAGAAGTGCCATAGAGAGACAAGGTGAGTGAGGTAATACCATTTACTGGACAAACTTCTATTCGTGAGAGAGACCAGCTTTCAAGCTTACACAGAGCTCTTCTGAAGAGCTGCTATTATTATTTAATTGTTTTGTGCCACAGACGTGCAATGCAAATAAAGACATAGTCCCTGCCCCAAGAGCATTTACAATCTAAGGACTAGATTGTGCCTTAGGCATGTCAGAGGTGATGTAGTCTAGTGGATAGGGTACTGGATGTGGAGTCAGGAAACCTAGGCTGTATTACAGGCTCTGTTCCTGACCTATGACATCATCATGAGCAGGTAATTTTACCTTTCTGTGTCTGTGTTTCCTCCTGTCTTTTGTCTGTCTTGTCCATTTAGTTTGTAAGCTCTTTTGGGCAGGGTGTCTCTTGCCATTTTTTTCACAATGGAGTTCTGGTATTCTTTAAGGTCCTTAGGCACTACAATAATACAGATAATAATAATGGCGTCCCAATCTCATCTAAGACCTCTCGGTGCAAATAATAATAGAGGAATGATTCCTCTGAGGCTCCTCTAACTTCCTGCCCACTTGTTTCCTTGCTCATCTGCTGTATAGACCCTGAGCATCCCGAGACACTATGGTTTGGGTAGCCCTTACACAGCTGTATGATGTTAAGGGAATCCTCACACACAGACATGCCCCTTGGCTATGTCGGGGTGGGGGGTAGTCACAATATAGCCCTAAATTAAGAAAAGAGCAAAGGGAGGAGATGAGGTTTGCTCAGGGAACAAGGATGAAGACAATATGATCAGGCAGTCCCTTGAGAGGCTAATGCATGTGTCTCAAGAAGAGCTATGTTGTTTGTTGATAGAACTATAGTTTATAACATATAATCATTAGTAAACATATGAGACAATTGAATTGATTTCTGTAACAACCCCTCAGCTCAACCAAGTTGCCATATGTGAGAACGAGAGCAAGAGCTCAAGCAAGTTAAGAAATAGTAATATTTAAGGGAGATAAGGTGAGTGAGGTAATAACTTTCATTGGACCAGCTTCTGTTGGTGAAAGAGACAAGCTTTCAAACTCCATGAACTGAAAAGCTTGTCTGATTCACTAACAGAAGTTGGTCCAAGAAAAGTGATTACCTCACCCACCTTTTATCTCTTGTATCCTGGGACCAACACTGCAAACAGTAAGATTTAAGGCAGAATGACAGACGGGAAGAAGGTTGGCCTAGTGGATAGGGAACTTGATTGGGCTTAGGCAAGTCACTTAGTCTACTCTGTGTCTCAGTTCTCCATCTGTAAAATGAGGATAATATTTTCTTACCTCACTTCAATGTTGCAAGGATAAAATCCATCCATGATTATGAGGCACTCATATTCTGCTGGTGATGAGTCATATACCTACCTCATAAGATAAAAGCAAAGACATCCAAAATTAACCCTTTGAATGTTTATATGAATAGGCATATAATTTACAATGCCAGAGTATACTTGGGCATCCTTAGCATGTAAATTCTTTACCAAATAGACCTCAAAGATTATTTTGGCTCCATCAAGGTCTGTGTGGTAGAGTCCTTCATATTGCACTTCTGAAACTGGTGCACTCTCTCAAAGCACTAACTTATAGATGTGGCTGCACTAGCAAGTTATAAACATTAATTGGCCCTCTAGAATATCTGTAAGAAGAGCAACAGCGCCCTCGGTTATCGCCTGCCTTGAAAGAAGCGAGGAATGTCCCATATATTCACCTGCCCACTCAATTCAAGAGGGAAAGGAAATTGCATGATGTTGCCCTTGGCTGGGACAAGGTGTACAGGAGATAGAGCAGGCCAGCATCCTGAAGAAACCACTTTGTGACCAGACAGGGCAAAGGGGAGTAGAGTGCTTTCCCTCACAGGGTTTATTTATTATTTTCATTCATTTTTAATTATAAAAGAATTTCCCCTAGCCTCCCTCCAGCCCAATATTTGCTTCATTGCATGAGAGCACATCTCTTTACTACAGGGGTGATTATTCAGCCACTCAGGCTGCCTGGTGGAACATACAAACATGTTTGACAATAAATTATATAATAAATAAATGCCATTTTTGGCACTGAAGTCCTTATGCCTCGGAAATTTTAGTGTCGAGTTATTTTATTGTGTAACTCAGTGTTTGACAAAATGGTGAGTACTTGGAGCTTTGCTTAGATCTAATGGGCCAGATCCCCAGGTAGTAAAATATTCACAGTACCATTTTAGTCAATGAAGTTACGTCAATTTCCACCAGCTGAGGATCTAGCGCTATATGCCAGTTTAGCAACATACAAGATGCTTGTAGGAAAAGGTCTTTAATGTGGGATCTATGTGTTTCCTATGGCGCCTATGAATAGCATCACTATCATAGTGAACAGTTAAATCTAACACACTCCTCCTCAAACAAATAAAAATCACATATCTTACTAACTGGCAGTTTAGTCATCAAGCTTTTTTCCCCCCTTTCTACAGAAAGTGTATATGAAAATAACCCCATTCTTTAAAACATAATAACATCAAGCTTTTAATAGAGAACATTGATTTACTAGCTGTGATCAACAGCTCAATTGTGCCAATAACTTTTATTTGGATTGTACTCTGAAAAAGATTTGTTTGCACAGAACATGTTGATGTCCACTGGCAGTATCTCAAGTAACTCTTTCTTTTCTTCCATCTTGCAAATATAGGTTTATGAAATATTGAAAAGAACAACATGTACCAAAGCCAAGTACAGCATGGGTAAGGAACTTTACGCAGGTTTGAGATCAGCATAATTTTCAGGTGTCACAAATGTTTGCAAATTTGCAACTGAAGGGATGGTTTGTTCATTTGTTTTGTTTTTATCCTCCATGTTTTGATTTAAGTTCATTTAGTTTAGTTATTGTGTTTTTGATTTATGTTTAGTCAGGAACATTTTTCATCTGTAAAGATGTAGATTCATTGCTGTAAACCAATTTTATGGTCAGATCTTTAAGCAAATTGTAAAGCAAGATTAATATTTTCAGGCACAAAGAGGTCATTCACAAAGGGACTGAATGGCAGTATAAAACACTAAGATATGGCCCAAGAGCTAATAATGTGTGGTCATTTCTTGACCACTAGGGGTTCAATCCTATCCACATTAAAGTCAATGAGAGTATTGCCATGGACTTCAGCAGCTTAAGGATCACAGTCTAGATCCAGCCACATAAATCCAGTCTGTTTCAATAGTCACCTAAAATTGTTATCATTTGATATCTCTTTAAGGGTTTGTGTGAAATGGTCTCAGTTGACAAGTCTTCAAAACTCTCCCATAGTTGGCACTTGTTGGCATTCTTCACTAACTCAGCAGAGAGGCCATGTATGGGAGTAGGCATGGGGACTAGATTAATCCCTCATCACTAGAAGTAGACGTAGTCTCTCCAGTTCAGTGACAAAGTGGAGGAGAAACTTACACTACTGCTGCCGATGGATGTGGGATTTTAGCCTTCAGAACTGATCCAACTGTTAAATTCATTAACAGGAAGAAATAAAAATCAGGTCACCCTGATAAAGACCTACTGACCATATATTCCCTCTTCAGCTGTTTTATAGTCTCTTTAACACTGATTATGATATGCAGGGATCCACTAAACTATGGCACTGAAGTGAATAAATAGCTCATAATAAACCAAATCATGTGTGGCAAAAACTAAATTTCCTCAAGTCCAGTCATCTCCACACCTGATATCCCATGGAAGACAAAAATCAAATGGAAAAACTGGAAACTGTTAAAACATTCATTTGTCCACAGGTAGTTAAATACAAGTATGAATTACAGGTAGCTCTGACAAAATAGTGACAAAAATGCTGTTAAGAAATCCATCTAATAATGGAGGGATGATTAAGCCAGATGTGCTTTGTATACTCTGACTTTGCAATTTAAGACATAACCTACAGTGTACAGGTGGCGAATCCTTATATGCCTTAAGATTACTTTGAGTGCAACCAGGCACTGTTCCTGTAATGTGGAAAATCCAAATGCAGGAGTGGCCTCCTTTTCTCAAAGCTCCTGTTGGATTGGTTTCACAGTCGAAATGACAAACTTTCACAGTGGCAGGGGGAAAGTCCCACAGCTCAGTGTGGAATCTTGTCCTAGAGTTGGCTGCTTTCTCGCTTTCCTGGTCAGAAACAGGAACCACATTAACAGTTACTTGAATGAGGAAAAAGATGTTATGTTTTTGGGTCCCCCTGCTTCTTCCGCCTTCACCAGACATGGGCATGGAAAAACCACACACAGTGCATGATATAAAGAGGTGATTGGGCCACGTAATCAGTGGGTGTAAATCAGTGTGGTTCCATCTGACCTTGTATGTTCAGTCATTATATAATCAAAGAAAGTTTTGGAACAGATTTGAACAAATACGAGTAACACTGGGATATTTTGGAAGTGCTTTCCTCTGAACTTTGCTGCCAAGTAGAAATAACAAAGCTGCCCAGTGAACACGCTAGTCTTTTGCTGTTTATTAGTGCATACTTGTGAAACTGCGAATTGTAGTCCAAAACTTTTCATGTCCATATGTAGTAGGTGGGGTGCTCAAATCCTCAGCAGTGCAATCACTAGAGCTGCGCATTACCAGCCTGCTACCTATTTCTAACTGAAGGTAGTATGAAACCTGCAGGTAATTCTTACTGCTTGATAACTGTGCAGTCTTGGTAGGATTTTTGTTTTAAAGTATGGCCTTGAAAGGTGCTGAGCACCTCTTGAGGGTTGAGGACACTCAGCAACTCCTCCAGCAGTCACTTAATGCCTTGTAGGATCAGGGCCTCAATGAGCTTGTAAAAATGTCCAGAGTACCAAAAAACACACCCTTCATTGGTTCATGCTCTTAGGGTGTATCTACATTGAAGAGCATATCCATGTCCATGGATGGTAAGGGGGTTCGGGCATGTGTCAGAGGCCGTACCCACATGATAGCGTAGACCAGTGGTTCTCAAACTTATTTGATCAGGCCCCCTTCTTTTTGTCTGTAGTCATTTATTTCCCCCTCCCCCCAAGTCTATATACCACCACCCAGCACTGAAGGCAGAGCAGAGAGTAGTGGCTGCTGGCTGGTCACCCAGCTCTGAAGGCAGCACTATGCCAGCAGCAGTATAGAAGAAAGAGAGACCATGTGAAAAATAACACTCATCAATATCACTTTTCACACTGAACTTAGCGCCCCATTGCCACCCTTACTTCTGTGCTGCTGCTGCCACCTTGGGGCTGAGAGCCAGAGCCCTACCACCTCCAGCTGATGGATGGGGGTGGGGGAGAAGGAGAGCCGAGCCTACGTGGTATGGCTCCAGCTGTACCCTTTATCCCTGTCTCCCAGGCGTGCACGGACCTTCTGCATGAGCCCCAGCCACCGGGGCTGACAGCCAAAGCTCTTAAAAAAAAAAAAAACCAAAAACCCCCCCCACAGTCCGTGCCTCCCTTGGCACATTCCCATGCTTTCCTTGGGAGACCTACCCCATTGTTTGAGAACCACTGGTGTAGACATACCCTATATTTCTCTACATCCGGACCCATGCTGTTATGTCAGTGAGGGATCAATAAACAATTGTCTAGCTAGAACACACCACAATATGTCAGGTTTTTTGTTTTCTCTTTGTAATATTCTTAAACTCTTATTATACACATTGGCCCAATTTTGATCTGGTGATAATCAACTTAGCTCTGTTACAATCAATGGAACAATGTCAATTTACTCCAACTGAGGACGTGATCTTAAAAGTCATCATTCAAGATTAGGTAGCAGAGTCACCAAACTTATCTTCAGTGGGTAACGAGACCCATTCAAAGACTTGTAGAAACTCCATATTTGGCAGTAGCTATATTAATGCCAACAGCTGTAATAAAACTTACAGTATCTCGAAATTATATACCGTAGCCTCCAAGGATCTGTGTCCTGCTAAGCAGTCTTTGGAATTCTGTAGCAAGATGAGATTTCTAAGTGCATTCTTCTCCCATTGCACAATTCTAATCATATGTATAACTTCTCCTGTTATGTCCTCACTTCTCTTAATTAATCCCAAAGTTAAAGAATGAGATCACTCTCCACAAGGCAGAGAATAAACTCCACAGAGCTCTCCCACCCCACACACATTATAGATGCAGCATTAACTGCTTTAAGGCTCATGCATGTAACTAATAGACAAATGTGTAAACAGGGACAGGAGAGGGAAGAAAGACGGAAACTACACTTTTAAATAAAAGATGGAAATGTGGTAAATATGGTAAGTATTATGCCAAGGTCTTTGCAAAGGCTTTCCCTACAACTTTGCTAACCAATCTCAAAAACTCTGAGTGTATGATGAATGCCTATGTATTAGGGTTGCCAACTTTGTATTTCAAAAATAAGGGACTGTTTTCTTAGCACCCCTTCCCCGCCCCTCCTCCTGATACTAGTAATACTAATAATTAGTAGTACTCACCTACATTTGCCTGGGGTATTTCTTGCTGCTTTTTGCAGCACTCGGAAACTCCCGACCTTCTTGTACAGAGATTTAAAAATAAGGGACGTCCCTTGTAATAAGGAACTGTTGGCAACCCTAGTATGTATGTTCCCTTACACAATCAATCCAGCCATATTCTTCTTATGATCCAGCCTTTTGCTTTAAAATCTGCAGCCTTGCTCTTCAAATCAGACTGACTTTTCAGAGAATGTCATTTATTGTAATGACTGGTTTCAAGTCATTGTCTCCTAATTCTTCATTCTCAAACATATGACTTCCTCTTACTCTCTGCAGTTTTCCATTTTGTAAAATGAATCCTGCTTAATGATCAGTATGAATGAAAATGAAACTATATAGAGAGGAATTAGATGGCAGAAGATTTATTAGCTAACCAAATGAGTACTATTTTGAGGGAATTCTTCAGAAATGTTGGATGTTAACTTGAGACTGTCCAAATTTAAAATTGTACATTGCTATTATGCCTTTGTCTTTCAAGGAATCACCAGTCTGCTTGCCAATGGAGTTTACAGTGCTGCATATCCTTTGCATGATGTAAGTGATCTTGGAATATATTTTACATTTCTACAATCTGACACCAAAAAATCCTTAGTGTGTTATGTATTAATGGCATCATCCCAAACATCTTTAGTGTTTCACAAGCTTAATTTCCTACTCCACTTTTATAATGAGTTTTCACAACTTGTACAGTCTTTACCTGTCAGCTGTGTTGGCTTTTAGTAATACCTGCCAAGTTAGTTCCCTTGGTCATCAAAAATGCTACTTTAATATAAAGTTAGTGGAGTTATTAATGTGTCTTGGCAAATTAAATACTTTTGCTACTTTTTGACCTTCTGCTCCCAAGGACTCTGGCACTATGGCGAGGAAATGTATTCATATCTGTACTCCAAGTGACTAATTTCCTGGTCTAAATCCCCTGGCATCCCCCTATATAAATAGCAAATGTCAGTGATTGTATGTATAATGGGTTGCCATTGGGGAAGTGTCCAAATACTTTAATGTACAGTGCCAGTAGAGATTGGTAGGATCAGACAGTAAGGAAATTTATATGGAGTCTTTTACCACAGGTGTACTGGTGTGGATCTGTATCGGGTTGGTAGTGACCCAAAGATTTCATCCTCTGACTTGATGGTCTTATAAAATGAGTTGGGGATCACTATCCATGCCAAAGTGGACTGATGGGTGCACCACAGTTAGCATTAATTGACACCCTTACCCAAGAGACTGAGAAGGGGCTGGTGTTGAAACATTTACAGATGGTCCCTTCCTATAGAGGCTTCATGAATGTCTATAGAGCAGTGTTTGATGCCCCTGCTGCACCTGTTCTGTGAGTGTATAAAGGATCGTGATGTGAAGCTGAAGTAACGCAGTGGTGGAAAAGGCCCTTTGAACCTCATACTCCTCTCACTTGCAGGGGGTTTAAAACTAATGTAACTTCATTGACTTGAATGGGTTTATCACTGGTTTACATTGGTGTGAATGAGATCAGAATCCGGCCTTTTGTCTATCTGGCATTTATCACAAGCATCTGCTATAGAGATACCATTTAGCGTTCAAAAAAGATTAAATAAATTCTACTTCATGTACATGCTAATGCTCTGCTGTGCTTTATTAGACATGTAGACAGCTACTGATAGCCACTGATATGTATATTTTATTTGTTCCATAATTGTATTCCTTATCATATTTAGAAATGACCCCAAATCAAAGCCCCAGATTTAATCATCCCTGAGCTTTGGGACAATTTGGATATGGGTCAGCCTTCTAAGCTGGTCTCCTCTTTTTCTAATGGATGAACTAAACCCCAAATATCACTCAGATGTGGGCCTATCTCTAATCACATTCTTCCCTTAACATTTTTAGGCTGCCTTTATTACTTATTCATTGCTTTTTACCCTGTGACTGACTTTATTACTTTTTCTTCATGTGCTCGATGACAGAAGACAAAGTGTGCCATGAGAAATGACCCCATATAATACAGCATTATTTTACAAATTGCCTTTCTGTTTTTGATGCATTACGTGAGTGGGATACATGGTATGTGAGCCGCATAACGGCTCTGGGTGTGACTTGTTGGATGATGCCATTTTTCTTTCTTTAAAGGGTGACTACGAAGGTGAAAATGTTGAGCTCAATGACAGAAAAGTAAGTTGATATATGTGATTCAGCAAGTTCTCAAGAGTGTTAGCCTCACAAGTCACCTGTCGGGAACTGGACATTTGCCAAGATTTCCCAGAAAATATCGTGGAAAGGCAATCAGTGCCATATAGCAGAAGTATTTCTAAATGTAAATTTTACTCCAACATGGATGTGTATAAATTACCCCATGTAATAATGGTGCATTTCACATCATCATAGGAAAAATGTCAACATTTACATTCTAATTTCTCTTAAGGTTGCTGTGACATTAAGTACAATCTGGACTGATGGACAGCTGTGTCCCCTCAGTTCTCCAACCTGGGGTGCCTTTTACACTGCTTTGCTGTGAGAGCAACCACTCCTGGCCTGCTCACACATACATATGTAAATCACTCCCAGCTATACTGCATGAGTGCTATGCATGAGTAAGGGAATCAGAACCTGACCCTGAGGAAAATAATCTCAAAAGTAACCATTTTGATACTTAGAATTTATTGGGCAAAAAAAGATTGCCTGGTTTCAAACAAGGTTTTGCTGTATGTAACTAAGTTAAGGGCAAATTTTTATTCTTTAAGTCCCAGCCTGTGCTAAGGAGTGCTACAGTTCATCTCCCAAATAGGCCCTACTGGCAGTATTGGATCTCACTTAGTTCCAGTTTAGCCAAGTTCATGACTTAAAGGATGTTGTTACTCTCCTGATGCAGGGTGCTTCAGACTGACTGTGTTTCAAGACACCGTGTTAAGAGAGAGAGAGAGAGAGAGAATTTCATCAGATCTTTTTTTTTCCATTTTTAAATATATAATATTTTTATAGAAAAAACAAGAAAGTGGGAATGAGGAGGAAGGTCATAAGATAGGTATAATAAACTATGGAAGGACAATTGCACAAGATAATATTTGGTACATATATAGTGTTCTGTAAGTATAATCAACTTAATTCTCATAATGCTTCCAAGAAGAGGGGTTTCCATTTTGCAGACAGAAAAACTGAGACAAAAAGCTTAAGACCAAAGTTTTCAAAAGAGGACACAAAGTTTGGGGGCTTCAGTTATTGGGTTTCTAAACTTGAGACTTCTTGGGGCTGACTTTCAGAATTGGTGCATACCCACAACTCCAAATGAAGTCAGTGGGAAGTGCAGGTGGTCAGCATGTCTGAAAATCAGACAAAAGGCATCTGAGATCGGGCCCCCGAAATCAGAGGCCAATGAGGCTTTTGGGTTTTTTTATTTAATTTTATTTTATTTCATGGTAGAATTGTAAACTGCTGAGATGTCAGGTTTCACCACATCGTGATTCAAATAAGCTAATGATTTTAGGAAACATCAGCCTGTTGTTAGCTATTCTTATATGAACAAAATATCTGAAATTGGTTTATCTGCACCTAAGGGTAATTAATTTAGAACTCCTTGTGTCTACGAGTTAGAAGCCTTTTATTTAATTAATTATTTAACAATTAGGCAATGCTAGTTTTTATGATTTAATTATTTTGCTTCTATGAATCAGTTTAAATAAAACTCTAAAGAAAAATATCACTCTTTGGTTTTGTAAATAGGCCAGTGTTCACATCCCCATTCTCAGCTCCACATGGGCTATTTACTATTCCACTTACTGTTTTTTAATTGTTAATTCAGAGAGAGGGTTTGACTTTAAGCCTAGCTTTAGGTAAAAGTGACGCATACACTGCACCACGCAAGTGGATAGCCATGGCTGGCATTGACACACAGAGGCACACCTCCAAATTAAATCCTGCCCAGCTATCCCTGTGCTGCATGTTAGGTTCGTAATTTGCTGTTGGCCTATACCCCCATTCCAGCCAGAAGTAGGGATGATGGGGTGCAGGCTATGCCCATCTCCATGCCCAGTCACCTACTGCATGCTCTGGTAGTGGAAAATAAGTGAGCATGCAGCTCACTTGCTTGCTTCCTCATGTCTAGAACTAAGGTGCAAGTGACCCCTGTGATGATAGGTGGAATGCTAAATTGGTTAAAATTAAACTAGAAACAAAGGGAAAAAAGATGCAGTTAGCAGCAACTTTTAAATGAATCCTGGTGTTTCAGAATTTGAATGCACTTGCTGGTTAAATTAATCTGATTCTGATTCTCTGTGCTACATTTCATGTGTTTTGGGTTTTTTCTTACCAAATATTACAGTTAAAGAAACATATTGATAGCAACCAACTCATGCATTTAAATTTTAGAGGATTTACCATTGTCAAATGATTGAATGAAGACAGTGGTGACCATTAGAACAAACAGACCTATTCATTGCTATTGCTTGTAGGGATTAATCATTGTTATATTGTTTATATTAATATATCAAACTAAAGAAAAAAAACTAAATAGAGAGATTATCATTGTCCTGGAATTCGCAGGTAGATCATGGGAATCTAGGGCTTTATTTTTCCTGGTTCTGTGTGAAGAACTTTCACAGAAATCAATGAGATTTTTGTACCAAAACTAATATTCTGTGGCAAGATATAAAATGTGCTGAATGGCAAGAAGGATGTCAAGTAGCCAGTTTAATAACTCCTTGTTCTCTCTTCAGAATTGGACTGGGTCAGGAAGAATCAAATCTCAGAAGTGTAGTCTTGTTTACAATGTAAATTATGTAATAAATTGAGTGCTTTCAGATGAACCTAGTTTTGTGAGTATTTAATTTCATTTTGTGAGCCATTAATGGTGACCTTTATTTTCTTTGGCCCAAATCCTGACTGAAAGTAATGAGTGAAGACCATTGTGTTCTTCTTAAGATCTTAAATGCAGTTTCTTGGACACTTCAGTACATTTTCTCTCTACAGATGCAAAATATTAGTGCAGCAACAGCAAACTAGTTTATTCCAGTTTGGTGTCTGTGTGTGTCTCTCTCTCTCTAATAACTCCAAGAACAACCATCCTTCACACCCACATCCATTCTGCTAAAGACTTGACTGATGTATGACTTGCAACAAATCATAAAATCCCCCTTACATCTATCCATTAGTCCTGTTGTTGGAGAGCTTTTAATGCAGTAGAATTCATCATTGTAGCATGCAGTGTGCCAAACCATCAAACTTGTTTTTCATACTTAATGCAGATGCATGTATTGGTCGATTGAGGTATGTGCAACCACAAGAAGAGTGACACCAGAGCACAACACGAACTGTGCAGTAACTTGGAACAAAAGGAGAAACAGCTCATTTACGTGATGCCTTATTTTAGCTTTCATTTGTGATTTATTTTATAGCTCCTGTGTGAGGAATGGGCAAGCTATGGAGTCTTTTATAAATACCAGCCAATTGACCTAGTGAGGTAAGGAGAATTCTAAATGTCCTGTTTCCAGGCAGAATTTTAGAAGTTTCATAAAGTTTTATGCAGTGTGATAGAATCATTAGATCTTCATAAACACAGATCCTGGAGCCCTTCCCCTACTTTCCACCAGACTGCCCTCATAAAGTTCACAGATACAGATATAGGGCCTGATTCTCTCCCTGGATTCTACTGGTTTCCCAGGCTCAGGATCCCTGGCAGTGGAAAGTCCTCCCTGGGGGATGATAAAGACACAAACCTTCTATAGGCTTAGAGCCCTTGATGCAGCTCAGAGAGAGAGCCGGGGGGGTGGGCAGAACTTGCTAGGGATGGGTCAGGGCCGGGGCACCCAGTATACGTGCTGATTCCCTGGCTAGAACATAAAGCTACCTTCCCTCCGTAGCAGGGGCGGCAGGTTTGCATAATTTTTGGTGGTGCCCAGAACAGGTCCAAGTCCCCCCCCCACACACCCACACACACACCTGTCTTGTAAGCTGATATATATTTTTTAAAATAACGTAAAAATGTGAGGCCTCTGGCATGGGGCTGATAAAGAGGGGTTTGGGGTGTGGGAGGGGCTCAGACAGAGGGTTGGGGTGCAGGGGTGAGGGCTGTGGGGTGGGGCTGGGGATGAGGGGTTCACAATGCAGGAGGGGACTCAGGGATGGGGCAGAGGGTTAGGGTGCAGGGGGATGAGGGCTCTGGCTGGGGCTGGGAATGAGGGGTTTGGGGTGTGGGAGGGGCTCAGGGCTAGGGCAGAGGGTTGGGTGTGTGGGGGGGTGAGGGCTCTGGGATGGGGCAGGGCTGGGGATAAGTGTTTGGGGTGCAGGCAGGCTGCCCCAGGGCTGGGGCCAGAGAGGAGGACTCCCCCCAACCCTCTCCCTGCCAGCAGCAGCAAGCTCCAGGGGAGGGGCCTCCCCTCCCGCCCGGCAGCACACTCACCTCGCACCACTGTCACTGCACGTGGCCCTAGGGCCCCTCTCAGGTCCAGGAAGCCCCCTCGCCTGCCCTCCGGTGGGCTGGGGGGGGCTGCCATCACATGTGCACCTCCTCTCCTGCTGCTGCCCCTCACTGTAGCCTCACTGGGGGTGGGGGATGGGACTGCCCCTTGCCCAGTGTGGGGCAGGAGCAGTGACTGCAGGCGGGGGGGAGGGTCCCGCTGGAAAAGGGAAGGGTCCGAAGTGGAAGGGAAGGGCAGGGTCAGCCTTCCCTGGCGCTAGTGGATGGGGGCATTAGGACCCTGCAGCAACAGTTGATGCTGGGAACCAGCAGAGCCCAGCGCAGCATGGAGTTGCAGGGGGCAGCCACCCGCTTGAGACAGGGACACTCTGGGGCCCGGGGGAGAAACACGGTGGCAGAAAGTGGGGGCCAGGGGAGATTCAGGGGAGGTACATGGGGGCAGCAGGCTCGGCTGGAAGAGAGACCGGCCCCAAATATTGGTGGAGCCGGGCCCTGAATATTGCTGGAGTCTGGGCACCCCGGGCCCATATAACTTGCTGCCCCTGCTCCATAGAGGCACTGTGGCAGGATATTGATAATACCTAGATATTTGTGCTTAGTTATTACAGTGACTATAGACCATTAGACAGACTGACAAAGCTTGAAAACCAGAAAGTGATGGGTCCAGATGGGAAACAGACATTTAGTTTAGTTACATCGGCCCTTTCAAGTGACTTAAACCAGAAAATGCATTTGAGCTTGCAGTTAAGTTTAAATTAAAGTTCCAATGGGAACGGGGACAAGACTTTCTTTTCCTAAATTCCCACTTCACTCTCTCTCAGGTTGACCATGCATTCCCAATACATTCAAAAGTCCAGCTTACCACAATGGGAATTTAAGGTGCACAGAAGAATATAAGATTTTGATTTTTTTTCTTTTTATCGAGGACGAGTTTTGTTTGTCATAGTTGAGATTCAGAGTCCATGGAGTAATTTCAATAAAGAAAAGTGAAAAATTTTTGTTTAGGGAGATTTGATCATGGTAAATCTAAATATATCTGTTTAGACACACACAAGAGCAAAAGAGTTTGGCTAACTGACTTTCTTGGTTCCTCCATCACTGGATTCATTCCAAGGGGCATGCAAAAAGGAATCCTCCTAGGGGAAATGCATTCCAGTTAGTCAAGAGTTTACTTTCCCCTTCAAGCTTAATACTGCTGTGATTCATAATTTTAGCCATGGTATATTTTAAGCTATAGTAAACATTTCACTGTTTTTTTTTTCCCCTCAATGTATTTCAGAAAATACTTTGGAGAGAAGATTGGACTGTATTTTGCCTGGCTGGGAGTTTATACTGAAATGCTCATTCCTGCTTCCATTGTAGGGGTTATTGTGTTTCTGTATGGCTGTGCAACGGTGGATGAGAATATACCAAGGTAAAAAAAAATGCAAATTCTCACTTTTATTTCTTTACACATCCAAACGGCATTCAGAATCCAGTCTGTTATACATGTATGACACCAATCGTTTATTCAAGCTTTATGTTGGTGCTGAGTTGTAGGGTTGGAGCACTGAAATCTTCAATCCTACCTGGGACCAGGCCATCAGTTGGAATACTGGCCACAGCCCTTTTGCATCACTTATGCAGTGTGATAGAATAATGAGATCTTCATAAACACAGATCCTAGAGCCCCTCCCCTACCTTCCACCAGGCTGCCCTCATAAAGTTCATTCATATTATTCATGGCATAGAAAGAATTCATACTGAATAGAGTTCAGAAATGTTCCTGAGGCTGGAAAACAAGACTTACAATAAGAAAAGGAGTACTTATGGCACCTTAGAGACTAACCAATTTATTTGAGCATAAAGCTTTCGTGAGCTACAGCTCACTTCATCGGATGCATACTTTCCACAGTATGCATCCGATGAAGTGAGCTGTAGCTCACGAAAGCTTATGCTCAAATAAATTGGTTAGTCTCTAAGGTGCCACAAGTACTCCTTTTCTTTTTGCGAATACAGACTAACACGGCCGTTACTCTAAGACTTACAATGTGAGGCTTAAGGAGCTCGATCTATTCAGTTTATCAAAGAGGAGTTTGAGCGGTAACTTGATCATTGTGTACAGAGACTTAGATGTGGAAAAGATATCCGATGGAAGGGATTTTTATTCTTGGTGACAAAGATATAACAAAATCCAGTGGCTGGAAGTCAACTTTGAAATAATATGCAATTTCCTAGCAGGGATGATGATTAAACTTTGAACATCTTACCTGGGTGGTGGTGAATTCACCATCATTGTTTGGAGTCTTCAAAATGAGATTAAATATCTTTCTAAAAGATATTCTTTAATTCAGCTTCTTGGAAAAATTCTGCCTGTGTGTGCAGGAAGTCACATGGAACATAGGATGGTCATAGTGGTCTCTTCTGGCATGAGAGTCTGTGAATCCTGATGTTTATTTGTTCCCTTCATGGGCCTTGGAGAGAACAGGAAGCTCTGCATTACCATCACCACGCTCAAAACACTTGCAGTTCTGCTTCAAGATAATGAGTATGAACAAATATCATGCTTCAGGGATTCAGTCAGTCACCTGCAGGGGTCAGGAAGGATATTTTCACCCAAAGCACAATTGGCCAGATGTATTTGGGATGGGAGTAGGGGGCATTCACCTTCCTCGGAAGAATCAGGCAGTGGCCACAGCTGGAGATAGGACACCAGACAGGGTGGACTAATACTCTGAAGCAGCACAGAAAATCCTCTTTCTTAGAAGCTTGACTGGTATATCTTGTTCACATGCACAAGATACAACTGATCTCCACATTGGGGTTGAAAAGGAATTTCCCTCCAAATCATATTGGCAGAGACCTAGCAGGTTTTCACCTTCCTTTGCAGCATGGAGCACGAATCACCTGCTAAGATCATCTGGGCAAATCTCACCTAATCAATTCCCCTCCATTTCAGGGGCCTCAAGGTGTTGCTGGCACCTCAGTCTCTCCTGTTTTCTGCTTGTGGCACACAACAATTTAAACCCAAGTAACTGGGCTCAGTATAGGAGTAATAGCGTGAAATTTACTAGCCTGTGATGTACAGGGCAGAGTAGATGATCTAATAGTCCCATCTGGCCTTAAACTCTGAAATCTATGAAAAGGTGCACAAGGTACATGAATTCACCCTGTGCAGCCAGTCTTTCTCCTTTGCACAATTCCAGCACAAGCCTTGCCTCTCTGCATCAGGTTGAATTCCAAACTTAGGCTGCAGTCATAAACACACAATGTGACTACTCAGGTGTATAACATCAGTCACATGTGTTTGCAGAATCAAGTGAGTACATGTGTTCATGTCAGATAATTTGGCAAAGTTTTAACATCAGTAAATTTTCTTATCTGTTGGAGTAAAGATACAATTAATCGTAAAATTGAATGTCCCTGCCAGCAGTTTAAGAATCTAGGCAGCCTGGTTCTGGAACAATTATAATTTAGAACTGCTGCATCATAAAACTTCCATATGCCTGATCAGAAATAGTTCACATCAATCAGGCCATTGGAGATGAGAAAAGATTAGTTTTCTGGGCGTTTGTTTTAGTTTTTCAGGTATAGTGGAAATATCAGTGCTATAGGATATGTAAAATAAATTAAGATAATTACATAATTTTGTATTGAACAACAGTTTTTCCTTCTGGTACTTGGTTGAAGCAACTAAAAACCCAAAATAAAATGCTACATATCTGTGAAAGTGTAGTGTCATTAAGGCCTAGAGTTTGGCACACCAGGAAGCTAGTTACAACTCCCCATTCCTGGAACCAGCTCTACACCAGACTCTGTCTGATGGACTGCATTAATATATGTATGCTGTCTGGCAATGGGTCCCAAGTGTCTATCTGCCAGCCTGCAAATGCCAGAACACAGTCAGCTTTGGCCACACCTCCTGCACGCCTCATCCATTTGAGCATTTTACATGTGATGGGTACTCTTCCACACCAGGGGAATCTCTAGGAGGGAACATTTGATCTCTTTCTGTTCCCTTTTAATGCTGGAGCTCTCAAAGGGTTTGAAGCAGGTTTCAGGACTGAGTCCACACTATCCAATACTGGGCAAAAATGTTATGTTATCAGTATTCTACCACCTTAATAATCTAATAGTGAGTTATTATTATTTATTAATACAGTGCCATAGGTGTGCATGACAATGTATAAGTATTCACAGTATTCATCTAAGAGTTTGTTCTCCACAGCAGAAAGATAAAATATGTACAGAACAAAATACATGTTCTCAGAAAGTAGAATCTGGAAAACAGCTGTGGGTAAAAAAACAGATAGCATGTTGACAAAATAGAAGGTCACAGTTAAGCTTATGATGAATCAGCACTTGCTTAAGTTTTGAGTTTATATACACGTAAATCTCCAGAGATGTGACAAAATAATCGTGTGGCCTGTTGATGAGATATGTGCTAAAAATAATTTATTTTAGCTCACTTGTTGACAGCGACTTTTCTGTCCTTTTCATAATTGTAGATCAGATCATTATATAAATTAATCTTAAAAGAACATAAAAAAATTGTGTAACCAGAACACAGATGGCATGTCTGTTATAAAGTAGTGGAAATCATCTACTATGAACAACAAAGACAACTCAAGAATACATATGTCTAAACTACGTAATCTGGTCAAATTAGTAAAATCCAGGTGCCGGGTGTTTTTTAATTGTACTATTTAGTTATTTATTATACATTTTCAAAAAAGGCTTCTAATTTTGCATTTCCAGTTTTGCTTCCGTAATCTGTTTCATGTGCAAATGATAGAAATTTAGATATCAATCAGGAACAACGATATCTGTGTCCACAAATCATGTAGTTGGATGTCTAGGGCAGATTTTCTGGTCCGATAGGGTTGCTTTGCATCAGTCCAACTGTTGACAAGCTTAGCAGCCAGCATAGAAGCTCCTCCAATATCCCCTTACCAGCCTCTAGAATAGGGGGGATTTCTGTGTAGACGATGTAGTGAGCTCATCTTCCTGCCCCAGATGCTAGAGTAGTTGCTGGGAATCATAGGCAGTCTTGCTTAAAGTAGAGCAATCCCCTTCTTGCTGTACTTTATGCTGGGCACTGGCACAGGTTAAAATCAATTTTGCCTATCACCTCACCATCCCTTGCTTAGCACAGCAGGACTAGAGAATCTAGCCCCGAAACTCTGTCACTTTCGCATGCTACTGATTGCACCTGCAATTGATTGTAGATGCAAAATTAGTATTTCAATTGAGGCACCTTAAAACATGTGGTGCTAAGATTCATGACTGTAGTAGTGGCCTAATTCCAACAATTCCAAGACACTCTTTCTCATGCCGCACAGCAAACTTTAGACCGGACTGCCAGATAGTCTCTTTTCCCCATTAAATGGAGTGCAGGTCAAAGCAAAAAACATTGGATCAATTTCATTTAATGAGTCCCTTCTAACAGTGTTGCCTTGATCTGAGGTCACATATTCCCGATAGTGTAGTTCCAGAGACAGAGCTAAGTGAGGGGGTTGTCTTGAGGACAGTAGAGAGGAAGAACAGTTTTGTGATTAAAGCACTGGAGATCGGAGTTCAATTTCCAGGTCTCCCACAGACACTCTCTCTCTCTCTATCTCTCTCTCTCTCTCTGCCTCAGTTCCCCATGTATCAAATGGGGTTAATACTTATTTTTCTCCTATCCTTTGTCTGCCTTTATTTACACTGTAAGCACTTCAGAACAGGCTCTCTCTCACTTTGTGTTTATACAGTGAATAGCATAGGGCCTGATTCATTTCCTCTTGATGTCAATGGAGAGACTTCTGTTGACCTGAATGGGAATTGGATCAGGCCTATAGTGGGACCCTGATGTCATTTGGGGCTTCTAGGACTGACCATAATACTAAATAAGTAACAATACTAAGAAGAGGTTGAGAAATTAGAAGAAATATGAAGGGAGCATTTGGCAGCCCAGCAGGTTGAATGTGCATTCAGTGACTGGGAACATATGCAGAGGACAAATGCCTTATCAGAAGAAATGACCTGTGCATGGCAGATGAAATGTATTAACCTTACTCTTTGCATTTACTTGTTGCTTTCCTGGCAGTATGGAGATGTGTGATGAAAGAAACAACATCACCATGTGCCCTCTATGTGACAAAACGTGCAGCTACTGGAAAATGAGCTCTGCCTGTGCCACTGCTCGAGCGAGTCACCTGTTTGACAACCCAGCAACCGTCTTCTTCTCTGTCTTCATGGCTCTGTGGGGTACGAAATTTATGGCTTTGACGTGGGGTTTTTAATTCTCTTAAATACAGGAGGGAAACAAACAAACAAAAGCTAAACCAGTATTTTTATGCTCAGGCAGTTAATTATGTCAAGTTCCTCGTCACCCAGCCCCCTCCCTGCTTTTTTCCAATGAAACTGTCGTCCCTAAATTTATATGCTGGACTGAAGGTTAAAATTCAGGAGGTTGCTCAGACGAATATAAAATGAAATTGTTAGGCATATGTCATAAAACTGCTGCATGGCATGTCTAGATTTCATTAAGGGGATTGCATAGCTTGCCAACAAAATCTAGTTACAGAGCCAGCTTCCAAATTAGAATATTGCTGAAGAGATGTATAGAGTACGTGGGGCAGAGAGGGAAAAGAGGAGCGTAATGGCCGTTCGTGTCTCAGAACAAAACATGACTGAATTTTGCTGTGCTCATAAGTGCAATTAAGTTTATCAGGGAACAGGCCTGGACTTGTGGTCTGCACAGAGGACCATGAACCTGAAGCTGCTGCGTTCTAATTATTTTTCGAATGCTGACTCCTCCTGAGCTCTTGAGCAAGTTTCTCTGCTTCAGTTTCCACTTGTAAAATTGAGTTGTTAATATTACCTGTCCCAGGGAAGTGTTGTGAGAATGAATTAGATAAAGTTTGTAAAGTGGTTAGAAGCATTGTGTAAGTGCTAAACATTATTACTATTGTCTCAGCTAGATTCCCTAGTGTGGACAGTAGCCTAGATGGTATCAGAAAACCCCAACACAGGAGATTTCTGTTGAAGAGAGATTCAGTGCTGAAGTAACACAAGGACTTATTCCTTTAGGATAGAGAACTCAGTTAGTCAAGATCATTGCCACTGGTGGGAAGCACAAAGCAATAGTTTCCTTTTAGCTGGTTGGGTGAACAGAGAGAACTCCAATTTCTAGCATTACTAATCTTTGTGGGTGACATTCACTTGCTGTGGGAGGTTTCATATAAGGCCCTCATGGCTATGGAACTGTCACACTGGCCCTGCATGAGGGGGAATACCAGTTAAGTGACTAACCACATCCTCTGCAAGTCAGGGGGTTTCCATTAGGAGAGACAGAGATAGATGGTCTGGAGCCACTTGTGTACAAACCTAATACATAGGAACCCTGCACTAGGGAGCACAGACAAAGGCTAGCTGCCATTCCAGCCCACAGTCTGCATTTCAGCCTAATAGCCTGCTTCTGCTTCGGTGGGGGTGGATTCATTCCTGCCATCCACCACATTGAATAGCCACAACGTCACTAGTACGTCACTAAAAGCAGCACAAGGAGATCTTTGCCTATGCGGGCTTTTATGTATGAGTAGTGAGCTCCGTTTTTGACACTGTATCTCATATAGTTCTGGAAATACAACCCTAGTTTCCATTTACTGAGGTATATAGGGAACCATTTTTTTTATTAGCAGTGATTTAAGATGAGGTTAGTGTATCCTTCAAAATAAAGTAATAACTTTGTTTTCGTGGCCAAAATTTATAGAAGGTTGAATACCATCTGCTATGACTGAATATTCTGTTCAATGTAAGGTTGGAAGAGGGGTGGGTACCTATCATATGATCCTGTCGAGAGTTGGGTTAAAATGCACACAGCAAACAGGCATAATAAGATAATCAGCAGGAAATCTGAAGGAGAGGTGCAGAATCTGTGGTGGTCAGTGATCTTTTATCTTGAACAGCATCTTGTCATGTTACATATATTGAGAAATGTGATATAACCCAGAGCAGCATGCCAACCCATGTCAGAGACTTTAAATAGTCTGATTCTGTCAAACGGGTAATCAAATATCTACTTGCACGCTCTCTCTCTCTCTCTCTCTCTCTCTCTCTCTGTGCATTGACAGGTACTCCAATTGGTCTGCAGCCTACTCAAATGTATCATGACATGGAAGGTTGCCTGGATTCCATTTCTTAGCAGAGTATATTGGTCCCCTCCACCCATTTTTGGTGACTGAAGGGGCAATCTCTATCATTGTGCAAAGTCAGAGTAAACGAACAACTTGGGGGGGGTGTCAGCAAAACACCTCCCCTACAACTGCTTGTGTATTTGGATACTTGTATATCCTCCATCACCAGAGCATTTGAAAGCCTCACAGACATTTATGAATTTATTCTTTGGGGCAGAGAAGTATTGCCCTTATTTTACAATGAAGAACTGAGATATAAGGCAATCAAGGCCCTTCTTTTAAAAAAGTATTTAAGCATATGCCTAACTTAAACGCTTGAATTTTTCCATTAACTTTAATAGTACTACTTACATGCTTAAGTACCTCAAAGTAAGGCCTTAGGCCTGGATACATAAAGATACGTCGGCACCTCTGTGTCATTTTTAGACGCCACCAGGATCCACAAGACTCCTACGTATTTTAGAGTAAGACTATGTCAACACTGCTGCCTTTGTCAGCAAAACTTATGTCGCTCAGGGGTATAACTGTTCCACCCCCCTGCGTGACATAAGTTATCCCGACATACGTGTTCATGTGCACAGCACTATGTCGGCGGGAGAAATTCTCCCACGAACATAGCTAGCGCCGCTTGCTGGGGTCAGGTTTTTATGCTGACGGGAGAGCTCTTTGTATGCCCGTCGACATAACGCGTCTTCACCACATGCGCTGCAGCGGCACAGTTGTATCGGTTCAAGTGCACTGCTGCGGCGTGAACTCTACACCTATGTTTCTGCCTCTGGGCATGCACCCTGCTGCCTCCCTCTAGGCTAGGGTTCCCAGCCATCCAGGATTGTCCTGGAGTCTCCAGGAATCAAAGAGTAATCTTTCCTTCAAGATTATGTCCTTTGTGATGAAACCTCCAGGAATACGTCCAACCAAAATTGGCAACCCTACTCTAGTTACCCAGATGTTTATCTCTTACCCTAAGCCCCAGAGCAATCCACACCCAGGGGAAGATAGGCATTCATTCACCTAACTTGTGTGCTGGGCCTGATCCCGTCAGTGTGCTCAGAAGCTGCCACATAACTCCACACAAAACAAGGGTGGGGGGGAGGGAAAGTTTCTTATATGCTTTAGCCCAGTGGTGAGGGTACTTACCTAGGAAGTGGGAAACCAAGGGTTCAAGTCCCCACTCTGCCTGAGGGGGAAAAGGGATTTGACCAGGAATCTGCCACTTCTCTTAGAGCCCCAACCACTGGACTATGGGATACTCTGATGTGGGACTCCTTCACTCTCCTGTAGAAGTTGTTCCACTTTCAATACATAATTGAATAATTAATATTAATTGGGCTGGAGGAAAAGGGAGAATCACTGTGTATCTTAGTGGTAAGAGCACTCAGTGGTGAGGTGACAGATCCGTTCTCCTCATCAGGCAGAGGGGAGTGGACTTGAACGTGGGGTCTCCCACACCCACGTGAGTACCCTCATCACTGGACTCAATGTTACAAGGGAGCTGTCTCTCACCCCCCAGCTGTTTTGTATGGAGTTGTGCAGCCTCTGACCACACCTACTGGATCAGGCCCTGAAGACAAATTTGGCAGAGGAACCCTTATCTTCCCCCAGTTCATGTATCACAAGCAGAGATAGGCACCTCCCTTCAAGGGGTGGGCCTCAGGACATATCAACTATCCCATTGGCTCCTGGCCTAGGTTACTGGCTTTTGTGGATTGCATTCCTGGGCACCTATGTCTCCCCATTCATTGTACAGGAAGCCTAGGCACCTAACTCAGGTCTTGTGGACTGCGGTGTTGTTCCTGTGATTATCTGGGTGCCTGAGACCCTTTGTGGATGTGGACCTAAGTGACTTCCACAAAATCACACAGGAAATCTCTGGAAGGGCTGGGAATGAAACTGCGATAACCTGAGTCACAGAATAGGGCCTTAACTACAAGATCATCCTTCCTCTCTCACATGGCCAACCTGCCTGGCACCCACACAGTTATTCCACATCTGCTACTGTTGCTACAAGCCAATAACAAGCTTCCCAAGACAGGGTTTTTCCCATACCATACCCTTATGTTTCCATGACTTACTGGTCTTTCTCACACCACCTCCAACACACATGCTGTATTGCTATGGAGACAAGAGTTCATTCCTTAGGTATCAGAAAGGTGAAGATTTTGTCACAGTTATTTTTAGTAAAAGTCAGGGACAGGTCACGGGCAATAAACAAAAATTCACGGAAGCCCATGACCTGTCCCTGACTTTTACTAAAACTAACTGTGACAAAATGGGGCTGAGCCCAAGCCCTACTGTGGGAGGAGAGCAGGAAGGTCCCCCTGCCGCCCATGGTGGCTGACAGCTCCGGATTTCCCAACCACCTGCAGCAGCTCAGAGCTGCATGGGTGCCTACAGTGGCTCGCAACAGCCACCACCTGTGGCTGTTGCGAGTTGTAAGGGGCCCTCCATCACCTGCAGCGACTCAGAGATCTGGGGTTCCCCTGCTGCCCATGACAGCTAGGAGCTGTGGGGGTCCCCGCTGCCCACGGCGTCTCGGAGCTCTGGGGCCAGCGGGTGAGAGCTCCGGGTCCCCCCCAGCCTGTGGCTGCTGAGAGCCCCTCCGCTGTGGCTCAGAGCTCAGAGCTGCAGGGACCCCCTGTCACCTGCAATACCTGGGAGCTGCGGATCCCCCATCTCTTAAATGAGCAGTCTGACATTGATTTTCTGTCCCCTAAAAATAAGGCCTGAATTTATGTGGTATGAAACCTCATCCAGAATCCCTCAAAATCCAGCTCAAATAATGATCTAGAAAGCAATCTACCAGAACCTTTGAGCTCAGTTTGTGTTTATGGGCACAGATGAAATGTGAAAATGCATGTGTGTTTAGCAGAAAGACATTCTTTCTTTGCTACTTCTTTGAACCTGCCGCACTCAGTTGGTGCTTCTCATATGAGTTAACAGATGGCTATGTTTCAGATGTAATATTTAATTTTACATTTTTCTAAGTTGATGCTGTAAAATGATTTCTGGTAGCAGCATGACACAATGTGTCTTTCATTTTCTCACTGTACATGGAAACTACAGACCACA